GCTCCAGTTGGTGAAGTACGTCACCCAGGGGGGGCCTATGTTCCGCTCTGGGGGAAGGGGGGAGGGGGGAAGGCGAACCACTAACGAGTGGAGTTGGGGGAGGGGGGGAGTGAGAGCTAACTTACAAACATACAACACACGCACACACACGCACATAAATACATGTACACGGAATTAGGAGGTGGTTGTAATGATGTCCTTTTTTGTCGTCGCTCCACCCTTATTATTATTATAGTAGCCTTGGGGAGGGTAGGGAGTGGGGGGCTGGGGGCCAGCTAACCCTGCGGCCTCCCGGGGGGGGAGGGGCCGCAGAACAAGCAGCAACCGAATATCGACTCCCGCAACGCGGTGCCGTACTGTCTCCCTCACCCCCACAAGTGGCACATCCCACGGCCGCCTCCTTGTCCTTACCACGTCATCCCGCTCCGGGCCCCCCTCCCCTCACCTCACCTCTCTCATCCTCAAACCCTCCACCACTACCACCACGACGTCTAGAAAGAACCCGAAGTCGTGAAATGAACCCGAAGTCGTGAAATGACGTCCTCACCACCGCGCCCGGGTCGAGTTCCTAGCGCCTACAGACCCCCTTCTTTTCCTCCTCCCCACAACTCCCCACCTCCCCCTCCTCGCCCTCCCCCTCCTCCCCACATCGCTCCTCCTACCCGCCAATCTCTCCACCAGCAAATCCGCCACCAAGTACAGTGCCGTACCGCAGTGCAGTACCAGCAACATTACGGGTCGTACCCAGTAGCTGGTCACCTGAGTTGCAAGGGTAGGGTAGTGCGTGTGTGTATGCGGTACAGCGGTGTACGGGAAGGGTAACTATGGGAGGAACATTGACCCCAACTGTATTTAAAAAATAGCTGAATAAGATATTAGGGTGTTTTAGAGTTTTGCATTGTAGATGTCGTACTTAGGTACCCCCACTTCATGGCTTGCTGAGGAACCGGGCGGCTGAGGTTGAGCTGAAAGAAAAGATCTGAAGGACACAATTTTGCCTTACCTTGTATACTTTTATATTATATATACAATGGAAACACATGCTATATAGAAAGCATGGAAACAGGTAAATTAAATATCCTTCCTATCCACATTGCTTTCCTAATTTTGTTTTTTTTGCCTTTTTTTCTAATTTTACTAATTTTTCTAATTTTGCCATTTTTGCTGGTTTTGCTAATTTTGGTGGTTTTGCTAATTTTGGCTGATTCTGCTAATTCTTCTAACTTTGCTAATGTTGCCATTTGGCTTATTCTGCTACTTTTGCTACTCCAGTTCGGCCGTACCTGCTTACCCTGGCACCCTCACCGTCCCGCGGCCCCCTCGTGCCTGTCTTCGGTGTCACTGTTTTAGATGTAAGGACATAAGGCCCAGACTTTCCCCACACAAACGGGCCCACCAAATGTGCGGGATCCAGGACGTCAAAGGCCCAAAACTCCCGGGGCAGGACCACCCGCGGCCGCAATTCCCCCGGCCGCCGCCGCCGCCGCCGCCACCGGCGCCGTACCAGCACCTCCTCCATTGGCGCCGCCGCGGAGGTGCCGGAAAAGGACATGGAGGTGGCGCTGCGGAACAAAGCCTCGGGCTCCAATGCCGTACGGCACATAGGGCCCTCAACAACCTCCTCAAGGTTTACAACAACCTCCTCAGTGGTGACGTGGGAGCGGTCAAAACTGCTGGAAGCAGCGGCGGCGGCGGCGGCGGCGGCGCCTCGGCGGCACCAGCCGGCCCAGGCGGCGGCTCCACACATGGCCGGCTGGTCACTGCTCCGGAACCCTGTCGTACCGGTGCTTCCCCTCGCGCCTATGCTGGCTATTCCGCCGGCGGCTGTACGGCCCTCTCTGGCCGTTCCGCCGCCCCCGCTACCGCTATCGCCCCCGCTACCGCTCCGGCGGCTGACGGCACTGAACCAGGACTTCGCACTGGAGAACAGGACGGAGGACCCCGGGGTGGAAAACCGCATCAGGGGCTCAGCGGCCGCCGCCGCCGCCGCCGCCGCCGCCACAGCATCCGACACGTCCCGCGACGGCAGTGTCGGCGGTGGCGGTGCCGGCGGCGGCGGCGGCGGCACTATCACAGACGGATGTGCTTCGCCTGCCTCGGCCTTGTCACCGCCAGCGGCAGGGTTGACGCCAGCCTCCACCAGCGGCAGCGGCCCAGACCCATGGGTCGCGGCCCGTGCGGGGTCTCGTGTATGGGTCTCTGCGGGCGGGTGGTTGGCCGTGGAGTCCTCGACCTCCTTGAAACGTACGGACGAGGCCCCTCCTCCTCCCTCCGCCCCCCCGCCGTCCCCCCCGATATAATC